GCTGGTACTTGAAAAGCCTCACAAAACGGATTTTCTGTCCTTGATCTTAAGAACAGACATACTCTAATGTATATTTTGTGTCTTAATGGTTGTTTGTACCTGTCTCAAATAAACCTTTTTGATTCTATTTTCTTTCTCCTCTTTGAAATTAGAACTGGATTTCCAAGATTCATTGAAATCTTTCCTTTGGTTCCCCTTACCAAATATTACTTGATCAGAAACTGACATGGTTTTGTCAAAAAAGAGCATTCTGCAGTGTCAGCCACTCTACCAGCACTAATGTGGCAGTGGCTTATTTAGATGTCTGATGATCCCGTACATGGTTATTGCTGCAATATTTAGTATTCCTCATTTATTACTTGTCATTAACTTATTACCTCAGAAGTATGAGAATCCACAACAAGTGTAGTTATGTGGGGTTTGGCCTATGTACTACAAGTTTTAGTTTGCAGTTGCTTGATACTGGGTGTGGAGGATGAAGATGGGGTATTTGCACTAGATATCCATCCCTGGTCATCTGCAGTTATGGGGATGGGACTCGATGATCCCAATGGCTTCTCTCAGCCTCTATAACTTTAAATATTTTAAACCTATTTTATGCAGTCTTAATCACAAACAATATACTTCACAAAGGTATTACACCTTATCAATCTGAGGATCCTTTCCTAGTGGACAAATAATGCTTCTCCCATCAATTCATCAATAGTCACTACACAGCTGAATTCTTCAGCCTTTCAAGAATAGTTTTGCGACTTGTCATCTGCAGACACTAAACACAGGGGTTTCTAAAAGATATTGAAGAGGCCTATGAAAGGTGACCAAGAAAAGCATGTTCAGGTATGTTATCTAGCAACCCACACCTGCAAACATCTAAAATGATCCACACTTCCACTGGCAAATTTCTGAGGTCACTAAAATGAAAAGCAGCAAAGACATAAAACTTTAAACAAAGGATAACTCCTTAAATGAGAATAAAACCATATTCTCTTGCATTCCAGTCCCAGAACACCCTTCACAGGAGTATATTCAGTATTTATACCTGAGACCACGGAGAAATTGGCATCTAGGGCTACACGCATCTGGATTTACCCAGATGTGTCCTGTTCTTTCTTTTTCTAGGATTTTGCCCATGAATCAAATGATGCAGTGTGGTACCTGCTTGGTGTGGCAGACAGATACCTCTCTGATGCATTGGATTCACTGTGCATGGGCAGGTTACTCCTGCAGCTTCTGGTGTCTTAGACTAAAGCGCGTATGCCACACCGTAGGTGTGTGGAGCAGGAAAGCCTGGAGAGAAACATTAGAGTTCTGGTTCGTAACACTGAATGTGCCTAATAAATATTGTAGGGAAGGAAATGCGTTCAGTTGGAAGTATAATTTAATACTGGTTTTGCCTTGAAGAGCCCTACAATATCATTTTATTCTAGGTACTTTCCATATTAGTTGATAATGTTGCAGCTAAATGCAGAAACTTAACATTAAATACCTCTTAACTGGGATATGAAGAGTTTTTAACAGAGGTATAATGCACACATACCATGGTGTGTTATAGCATAACAAACACACCAAAGGAGCTGCAACAACAAATGACCATCCAGTGGCTGTAGAGTAACTCAGACATTATAGTGCAAAAAACCACCTTTTCTTCCTATTAGGAGGCAAGAGCCCATGGTGAGATTTTTCACTGAATTCTACGTGCTTACCACTAGTTCTTAACTAAATATGCTCACTTGATCAAGTGACTATATATCACATCCTGTACCTTAGGACACTCCCGGTCCTCACGTACATGTTGATTGTGGCCATACAGCAGCAAGTGGTTACAAAATGTATTTGCTGGGAGCTGTGTGTAAGTCAAACCAAGTGTTTGGCTCCCTTTGTGCTGTCATGCTTCTGAAGCTGCTGACTTAGTATTTAGTTTATAGTAATCTGATTTATATTTGTTCTGTTCGCACTTGCTATTTAAGTTAATTGTGTCCTTCCACCAGCAGACTGTAGCATGAGGGAAACATAGAAATAGTTTTCTAACCTCACAAACTCTACAGCTACTCTTCTTTGTGTGAAAAAAGCTATCCCATAACACTGATGGCTAAAACATCTACGAACACTCCATTCATCTCAAATGCATTACATTTATGGAGGCTACTCTCACTCCAGCTTCCAGTCCACTAAAAAATGCAGAAGAGTGCAGTTGCCAACACGCTCTGCCATCTCTAATTACTGCCCCGAACAGCAAAGGTCAGCACATTACACCTGATCAGCCCAGGAGGTTAGGACCTTGCCTGTAGGCTGGAACGAAGGAAGGTTCCAAGCCAATCTGAAAGGGATGGGGCAACATCAGGTGACCTCAGAGCACTTTGCAGAGAAAGCAATCCCATCAAATGAGAACACAAAAAGGTGTCAAGGGCCTGGGAAAACAGATCTGTGCTCTGGCAAGATGCTGGAGCACCTTTTGAGCAGGACTTGATCTCACAACCCTACTAACCCCTGCTGCAAGCAATATATGGGAGACCTGACCTTTCTGGAGTAAAAGCAATGCACCTTGGAGTGCAACTGCTACTCCCCACCCTGCCTGCACGAGGATCACTTGAGGGGAGAGCAGTGTACCCCTCTTTGAATGCGCACAGCACCCAGTCCTCTTGTGCACAGCGTTATATGTCTTCCGTTTGTTGAAGGGCACTTGCCACCAAATGGTGGCTGGAGAGAAACAAATACGTCAGAGACACTGACCGTGGCGACTTGAACAAAGTGCTGCAGCGGCAGGAAGACAGCGATGTTCCCAGATAGGACCAGCCTCGTGGGCTCTGTGTTTGCAGAGTTTGTGGCTCTCCAGACACCACACACTTCTAAAACTAGTGTAAAAGTGGATCAAAGTACTTCACTGCTCTCTTCGAGCTATCTTTCTGTAGGTCTCCCCTGAGTCATCCAACCTGGCCACGTAGCGCAGGGAAGAGTTTCTGACTTTCAGGCATGGGTGCTGCATAAACTGCTGCCATGCAAAGACCACCAAAGGCCTGGGTTTTACCCAATTTCTGTTGTGGAGAACAGCACTGCTTACTTTCCCCTTGCAGCCAGGGCCGTCTATTTGTGATAGAGGAGGGTGTGTTAAGAGATTGAGACCAAACTATCAGCCCTTTCTGAAATGATTATCCAGGGCAATAACCCACGACCCAGCTCTGCTTGGCGAAGCCCATGTCTGTACCCTGGAAACAGAGATATCTAGGAGAGGCTGCCTATTGATACTACCATAGCTCAGGTGAAATGCAGGTTGTCTTTCTTCCCATTTCTTGTTTACCTAATCTACAGGAAAAAAAGAGGCAACAGCGAGAAGTTTTGGACACTGGGAGCAGATGAGACCACTACTGCTGCCTGTCCCCTTGAGCTGCTGTGGAGAAACCAACTCACCAGGAACCATATTCCCAGAAGTAGGTTTCAAGGTAAAAGTAGGCATTGTACAAATACTATCACCATGGAAAGATGGAGAATTAATGCTCTCCCACCCCACAGCTTCTGCCAGGGCTACAGACTGACTGGTGATGCTTTCCCCTGGTGCTCTTCTTGCCACCAGCGCTGCAGCAAGCCTGTGCAGTGGACCAGCACAGTGGCCTGAAAAGCTAATCACTGCCTTTTGTAGGATGGTAGCTATCCTGCCACGCAGCTCGCCGTGGAGAAGAAGATCACCGCATGTGACAGCCCTGCAGCCCTGGCAGGCTGGAGCCCTGGGAGGAAGCACTTTTGGATGACCTCCCTGCATGGAGGGGCTGAAAGGATGTCAGAGGCTGCTGGTCTGTGAGCGGCAGGAGCCCGGGCTGGGACATGTGGAGGCGGCAGCCTAGGCAAGATGCCAGCAGGGGGGAAACACAAGCAAGAAAAGGAAAGGGAGAAGACTAGATGGGGAAGGATGTAGATATGTGTGCGGAAGAGGAGATGGGTGTTGGTGAAGGGATGAAAGTGGAGTCATGGCACACGACTCCCCAGCCGGTGCCTCCACACTGTGTTAGCTCGGCTGCTCCTGGAGAAACCAGAGCAGGGCTGGAGCAGGCACAGGGAAAGGACATGCCTCCAGATAAGGAGATAAAAATGAATCCAAATTACTGGATACTGTCTGCACCCTGCAACGAGCTAAACAAAGAGGGCTGAGCAAGGGCAAAAGGAGCAACCTTCAAGCTGCATCTGTGCCTTTGCTAAGTGACCATCTCCACAATTCATGTGAGTATTCTGCCACTTCTTACTGAGTCATATTAACTCTCACTTTAAAAAGCCACAAGAGTTAGCGTAACACTCACATACAACTGTGAAAACCCTGTATCTGCTGTTGTAGGAGACCTATTATTAGCAAGGAATTATTATTATTATCTGTCATTTGGATTGTGAGCTGTCTTACTGTGAGACAGTTCATGTGAATTGCTCTGCATCAAGCTCCTAATCTGCCACCATATTCTTCTGTAAATTTCCACACAGACACACTAATTTTGGGATGAAGATCCAAGAAGGATTTAATGAAACTCAGCAGCACTAGAGGATGTGTACAGTGCCTCCCACCACGGAGCCCAGTCTCCATCAGGACTTGTGCCCACTACAGACAGTGAATAATTGCATTGGCAGGTCCGAGCAGGGAGAGGAGGCTGAAGAGGTGGGGAAGGGGTTCCAGTGCCTGCACTGGGAAGTGTATGTACCTGATCCTCCTCCCGGCTCCTCTGCACACAACTAGCTTTCCCATCTCTCCAGGTTTTCCAACTAAAGGGATCTTGAAACTGCCAGGAAGGTAGGGCTGGAGGTGTAAGGGGAAGGGGCACATTTCTACTGCAGTTGCCAACCCCAAGCTTTGGAGGATGACTTGGTTTGGAGCTGCTGGAGCGAGACCAGAGTCAGCGAGCCAGCCTGGGGGAGAAACGGAGGCAGAAAGTGTGTGGGGTCCTTTCCTCACCCTGATGCCTGGGCAAAGGGGAGCAGGGTTAGCAAGACAGACAGCGGTGGCTACAAAGGGGAATGTTTCTTACAGTCACTGTGCACAGCATAGGGAGGCAGCAGGCTGATGGGAGAGAGATCATCTTCAGGCCCCTCTACCACTGAAGGGAGCCCCTTGGGAGGCGTCTTACCGGTGGGCAGGGGCGAGGTGGAGACCGTGTTGAGCAGCACCACACAGACAGCCACAACATCCCATAACTTCATCTTAGATCTCCTTCCAACACGGGCCCCTGGCAGAGAGGAGAGGCAGGGTTAGACCCCAGCTGCTGCGCTCCCCCAGTCCTGCGCCCTTCCCTGCCAGCCCTGAGACAAAGCTGCACAGCCTCACACCCTAGATCAGGATGGTCCACCCTGGCCAGGCCTGGGGACAGAGCAGAGGGAAAAAAACCAGTGTGCAGCTCAGCCTCCCACCCCTACCGCCTGCCAGTCCAAGGGAGGTGAGCTCTCCCCGGTGAGAGGTGTGGGATCAGAAGGCACAGGATGGCCTCCACCCCCTCTGCGCCCAAGCCAGCTCCTTTTGGGGTATGTGGGCAGGCGGGTCCCAGGAGCCTGCGCCCAGGGAGGTGGAGGTGTGACTGTGTCCCTGTGCTGGCAGCCAGGTCACCTTGTGCTTGTCCTCCTCCAGCACTCAGGCGGTGCCTGGGCACCTGTCCCCAGACTGGGCGAGGGCCAACTGGGCTGACCTGGGGTTTGTGGCTGCGCACATTTGCTGTGCTACAGGCAAATCAACCTTTCCCTTTCCCTCTCTTCTCTTTCACCTTTCCTCTCCTTCTCCCTTTCCCCTTTTCTCTGTCCTTTTCCCTTTCCTCTTCTTTTTTCTCTTTCCTCTTTCCCATCCCCTTCCCACTCCTCTCTTTCCTTTTCCTTTAATTTTTCTCACCTTTTACTTTTCCTCTTCACTTGCCATCTTTCCTTTCCCTATCTTCTTCCTTTTTCCCCTCCTCTTCCTTTCCCTTCCCTTTCTTCTCACCTCTTCCCTTTCTCTTCCAGCTTCCCTTTCCCCTTGTTTCGATATTTCCTTTTTCCTTCCTATTCCTCTTTCTTTTCCTTTACTCCCTCCTGTTTCCACCTCCCTTTCCTTTCCTTTTCCTCTCCTTTTCCCTTCCCTGTCCTCCTTTTTGTTTCCCTCTCCTCACTTCCTCCTCCTCTGCTTTTGCCTTTCTTTCTTTTGCTGTTCCTCTTTCTTTTCCCTTCTCCTTTCTCCTCTCCTCTCCTCTCCTCTC